TCGCTTATTGGCAGTTGAAACAATAGGAGATATGGCGGCTTCGAATCTTGGTAGCTTTAGTGCCGCCTGCCCAGTAACTTGGAAAGTGTGGTGCGGAAGAGTCATCGACAAGAGCTACATCGTGCGAGTAAAGTGGGTTGAGGCCGCAGTTAGAATTCTTCAAGCCAGGTCCGACAATATGGGGCTGTCCTTGATCCCTCATATATCCGAAAAACTCAATGACACAGACGAGCGGGTGCGGCTGGCCGCTTGTCGAGTGATTGGAGAGGAATTGGATTATAGATCGATCACATCCAAGCTAACAGCGGAGTACGGCGGCGATAAGCTATTGGAGAGCTTAGCGTTGAGAGCAAAAGATAAGAAGCATGCTGTTCGACAGGAGGGAATGAAGGTGCTTGCCAGGATGTGGGACATGGGATATGAAGATATCAAGAGGGGGCTTGAGAGTGTAATCAAACAATTAAGCTGGATACCCGGAAGCATTTTGGAGACGAGCTACGTGAATGACAGAGATGTCGATGTCCTGATGGATCACGTGGTGTGGGAGATATTAATACCACTGGAGTACCCTCTTGGGAGTCTGGACAGCACAAAGACCGCAAATGGAAAGGATGGTGCAAATGGAAAAGCGGCCAGCAAAAGTGCGCGGCTCAGGGATAAAGAGCGTGGAAAGGATAAGGGCAAGGGAAAAGAGGATGGAGCAGATTCGCAATCCGAAAATACTCAACAAATGTCAGCACTTGACTACGATCGATTGAGAACGACCAGAATTCTTCACCTTGCCCACAATCTCCCTCCGCGATCACAGAAGGCTTTCCTAGCATTGGCTGCCCGTCAGCTGACTTATTCGGCTGTGTTGAAGCAATTTGTGGCATCTGCATCCGAATACAATTCTGGAACGACAAATACAATTACTGATGCGCCGGCAGCGGGTACAACTCAAGCCGAGCATAAAATACGTCTCACCAAACTTATCAACTGGTTAGCTACCCATTTCTCGGATACGGAGCGAGCACGTGACCATCTGTGGAAATGGGTCAAAATCGGTGACCGTCGTGGCTGGAATTGTGTACAAAATATTATGAGCCTGGAGGAGGGCTGGACAAGTGTCGTTAAAAGCCTTAATGAGGTTGTAAAGCGGATAGAGGGTGCTCCTGGGAATGCGAATATCATTTTGGAGACCGTGCGACCATTGCTCTACAGAAGTGCAGTTTTGCTATATAATAAATCCCATGTTCCAACAATTGTGGAATTCTCAAAGTCAGCAGCACACCAACCCCAGCAGCCGGATGGAGACTTGGCGGAGGATGGCTTTGGTTTTGCTGGGAACGAGTTGGGGATCACAGCAAACTGGATATTGAAGGAGATGTCGTCCACATTGCCCGCGGTATTCAAAGCCCATATTGCGTCTCTGACAACGATAATTCAAGACACTGCCCCACCTGTCCCTGGCTCCCGCAAGGCACTTGCAGCAGCGCCTAACAATACCCCCGTCGATGCCAATATCGTCGATACTCTATCAGCACTCTCAACGTTCGCACTTCGATACCCTAACGATGTTCCTCGTGACCGAAAACTGCACCAGGCTCTTTTCTCCTTTGCAACTTCTCATCTGTCAACACCTAAAGCCGCCAAACATGCAGTCAGGGTGCTCATGGCTGCAGCGAAGGATCGAAGGGAGATGTATGCCACAGATCTTATTGAGAAATGTGTTAAAGAGCTTGAGTGGGGCAGCGAGGGATTCGTTGTCCGGTTGGGAGCACTTGCCGAACTTGTGATGAAGGCGCCGGCCGATCTTATTGATGATGTTGCAGAAAAGATTGTCACGTTCTGTTTGCAGGAATGCCTGCTCCAAGTACGCAGTGCGGGTGGAGACGAAGAAAAGGCTGCCGGTAGTACATCCCAGTGGGTAGAGGATGAGGATATTTCGCAAGAAGGGTATGCGAAGCTCCTTGCCCTCAAAATCATGGTCAATAATCTTCGCCAACGCACCCAGAACGAGAATATCCGTGATCGTGCTCAGCCGGTTTTCTCTATTCTTCACGCCCTTATCCATAACAAAGGTGAAGTGACAACGACCAAGAATACCCCAACCACCCATCGTGCTAGATTGCGACTTGCCGCAGGGCAACATATCCTCAGATTAGCGACCTATCCTATCTTTGAAGAAATGATTCCTCCCAAGAAGTTCAATGGTCTTGCGCTTCAAGCACAGGACTCTGTGGAACAAGTGCGCTACGGTTTTATTCGGCGCTTGAAAAAGTACCTGGCTGTCGGCAAGCTTCCACCAAGATACTACGCCATCGTCTTCCTCATTGCATATGAGCCAAAGCCCCAGCTACTTAATGAGACCATAACATGGATTAAGGCAAGGGCAAAGGCCATCGCTGCGAGCGGTGCTGCTGCTTCGACAACTACGCCATCATCCAAGGCGCCTTCTGCCAATGCATCTGGTACAAACATCCTCGAACTGAGTCTTGCCCGACTTCTCTCCCTCATTGCCCATCACCCGCATTTTGGTAAGGAAGCTAGTGAGCTTTTGGACCTTGCAGCATACATTGTCTTCTATGTCCGCACAGTTGTTACTCGTGACAACATCGGACTGGTCTACCATGTGGCTCAGAAGGTTAAACAGGTCAAAGACGCAATTAACCCAGCCAAAACCGAGAATCTATACTACGTGAGTGAGCTTGCACAATTGGTTCTCCGAAAGTATGGGGATATGCAGGGATGGGGGGGTGTCCCAACTTGGCCAGGTAGCGTTGGTTTACCGAAAGCACTATTCGAGAGTCTACGAAACTCTGATGAGAGGAAGGAAAGTGCAAAGTCGTGGCACTTGCCTCCTGGTGTGGAGGAGAAACTCGATGGCTACATCAAACCACAACGGAAGAACGCTGCAACTGCAAATCCTGCCGCTGCGAAGGACGGTGCAAAGACTGCGAATGGGTTGAAAATCACGTATCATCACTCCACCGGGAAGAAGCGCAAGTCGATGGAACAAGGCTCCTCGAGCACAAATACGCCAAAGCACCCTTCAAAGAAGCGACGACAGAAGAAGGCAGCCGATGATGATGACGCTGAAGACGGGGTGGTGAGCTCTGATGGGGACGAGCATGACAAGGCAGGCAAGACACCTAAGAAGAAGAAGTCTGCGTTCAAGACTCCCTCAGAGAAGAAGAGAAAGGATGTGGATGGGATGAGCACGGTGGAGCGAAGGAGGAGTGGAAGGGCTATCCAAAAGGTAGTCTACGCGGAGGATGACGAGGAAGCAGAAGCCACTGGAGAGGAACTGGAGGGCGACAGTGAGAGTGAGGATGGCAGTGACAGTGGAAGTGAAAGTGGTAGTGATAGCGAAGAGGAGGGAAGTGGTGATGAGCAAGAGGAAGATGGGGCTGACGATAAAATGGACATTGATGAGGAGGAGAATGTGGCAAAATCAAAAGGCAAGGGTAAAGCTCCTGCAAAGAAGCCACCTCCACCAATCAAAGCAACGAGAAAACCAAAGCCGATTTCCCGCAATGAAGACACCATGAACACGGACGACGACTCGGAATTATCACCGCCGCCTAGTACGCTATCGGATCATTTCCCTGACATTGACCTTCCAACGACAACAAAGACGACAACAAAGAAGCCTGCAGCCAAGGAGAAGTCTCCAGAGCCAGAGGAAGAAGTACCGGAGGATGAAGAAGAGGAAGAAGCTGTTGCCGAGAAATCACCACCGCGGCAATCACGGCGAGCAAGTGGCCGTGGCACTTCCGCAAAAGCAACTGCTACAACCGAATCCCCATCCGTGACAAAAACCCTTGCCATTGCCAAAGGAAAGCCTAAGGGAAGGCCAAAGAAGAAGCGTGGTGAGGACGAGGAAGAGGAGAAGGCGGAAGAGACTGTGGCCTCCCCTGAAGCACCATCACCGTCACCATCCGCCCCACCTCCTCCGACTGGTGCGAAGAAGAAGGAAGTCCTTGTCTCTCCTGTGGCTGCTAGTCGATCCACAAGAGGATCTGCACGACTTGCAAAGTAGGATGTTATGAATACTCGTCTTTTTTTTAGCTCTTTTTATACTTTCTTTTTTTATGTCTTGATGGATGACGGGGTGGATGATTAGGGGTTGGAGGTTTAGTTACAATTGAGTGGTAGTAGTGGGGGTGGTTTTTTTTTTTTTTTTTTTTTTTTTTGATGCTATTCTAGGATAATTGTCATTTCTCATCTTTTATGTTTCATCCTTCATGTCTGATTTTTCATTTTCATTTCCGTTTTGCTTGTTCGTTTGTTCGTTCATTTATTTTTTTTTTACCGAAGAATATCTGACATGTCGTTCTTTTTTGCACTTGCTATTCCATTGTAGTTGTGTGTTTTGAGGTGTGTTTTTAGTTGTTTGTATGTCTAGTGTTTTCGTTAACGTTGTTGACTACTTATAGTCTTTTTATCGCTTCTCGTTTTCATTTCATTTCTTTTACCCGACCAGCTAGCTATAGGCCTCCTAGCTTTCTTATGTTTTTTTTCGTGTCTTTTTGGAAAAAAAACAAACATTATGGAGGTTATTGTAATTTTGAACCCGATTTCTTTTTTATGCTCATGATCATAGCTACCTTTTTTTACTCTTTGGCTATTCATTCGTAATTCCTCCTTATTGCAATTGCGCGAAACAAAAATTGAATAATTAACTTAAGCATATATTCATAGATCTTGCCTCCACATGTGTCGATATCATTTCTAAATTCAACGTTCATTTGCTGCACGTTTTTCTGCATCTGCTGTATTCTCATTCGCATTGATTGCACTTGGAATTGTCGTTTTTTTTTGTGATACTAGATGGCTAAGTACCTAGGTACTTCAATTGGTCATAAAAGCCAACCCTCGATGTTGGTATACATTATATAGATGCATGGTATGAATCTTAATGTTGTATGGAGGTGTGACCGCGACTTCTGTGTATCAACCAACATTGACTAGCGCTAAGGGTCTATATACCACCCCAACAATAAATACAATATATAGTCGGGATGCCGGAGTGGTTAACGGGTATGACTCGAATTATCTCTCTGTTCCGTTCAGAGAGAGCTGATACAGTTCGTCATCATATGGCTTCTGCCGCACAGGTTCGAATCCTGTTTCCGACGAAATTATTTTTTGCACCTTTTTTGCACCTTCCCTGGAATTATAGTTAGTGGGATTGTCTCGTATTTTGTTGGAGAAGGTACTTGGGATGTATATTCGAGTAGCTTTGGGGGATTAGTTTGCATGTGTGGGGGGGGGTTAAGTTCTCTAGGGCCGATTGAGAAGTTCGGCGATTCATGAAAGGATGGAACGAAGCGAAGTGAGATGTTGTATGGGGATTTCAGGGTAACTATGCTGCTTTGAAACCCAATGCCCCACCGAGAGAAATATTCAGTATTTACGATGTAATGTGGCTAGGCTACTTCCTACTTGAGTACTAACTACCCATTTAGGCCGTGATGAGGCTTTTGGATCATAGTCTCGTGTTGGATCACGTTGTCTCTGATCGAAAGTGCCCGTTTGAGAAGTACACAGTTTCTATGGAGGTGGCACGAGACTAATGGAGATGCTTTTCTTCAAAACCCCCCACTGGCGATTTCCTTCTCAGCTTCCGCTCTCCCTACAGAAACCCACTCTGATCGAAGGATTCTGTTCATAAAGCCCCTGGAGACACAGACAGGCACGATAATAAGAATACACCACTCCACCACCACCCCCACCATAGGCCTTCTCCTCCTCCTCCTCCTCCTCCTCCTCCTTTTTTTCTCATCCTCATCCTCATCCTCACCAACAATTAAAAGCCATGAAGCAAACCAAGCCTAAACCCACCTCCACCCGCGCCTCAAAAGAACAAGAAGTCGACAATGAACCAGATAAAACTAACCTTTGGCGAAAAAACCTCGGCGCCTTCTTCTGCGAAGTTTTCTGCCAATTCCTTTTTGGGGCACTTGTCGGCCGCTGGTTATTGCAACGCCAGATGGCAGTTTCCATGGCAAACGCGATGTGCAAGTGCACGAGTAAATGTGACGACTCGTTCAGTTATGTGCACCATTGGGCGATGATTGCCTTGAATGATTTGGTCTGTATGTAAGTCTTATACACCCCTCTAGATCTCCCCAAGCCAAAATAAATCCAGATAATTTGCAAGGTGATTCTAATATAAAACAATCACTCAAAAATAAACAAACTATTTATATAGAGGCATCGTCATCAAGTTTCTCAAACTATTCCTATCAAATCCTCCCGTACCAGGTGGCACTACTTCTTCTTCGACCCCCAAAACAACCTCCTTACCCGATGCAGCCAGGCCTGCAAATGCACCCAAAGTTCGTAAGAGCTGTACTTGCAATTGTAAGTTAAATTCTTTGAATATATGTTTGACAATCCCATAACTACTCGTCGTACATCACCACCACCACCACCCCCACTAGCCAAATAAAAAAACAGCTACTCCCCTTGAGAGCAAAAAAAAACCCCGCCTTCACCAATATACTAACATCATTCCTACAGACAAGACCAAATGCACTACTAGCAACTCCGCGCCCACCCTCGCAAAGCTCAAGCCCAGGTTCTCCAACCCAATTTTCGCACTACAAGAGATGCTCAAGAAGATCGAAAAGGGACGGGCGGAATTGGCAGCTGAGCGGTCAGTGTGGATGGCGAGGATGGGGAAGGTGAATGCGGAACTGAAGAAGCGTGATGCGGGTTTGGAAAAGGTTGAGGCGGATTTGGATGAGCTTGAGGCGGGTTTGAATAGGGTTGAGGCGGATTTGGATGAGCTTGGGGCGGATTTGGATGTGGTTGAGGCGAGTTTGGGTGAGCTTGAGGCGGATTTGGGTGAGGTTACGGGCTTGAAGTGGACATGATGGTGGAGATGATGCATGGGTCTCGTTTTGTTGCCCAGCCTCTCGCAGATGTATGCACTCGGGAGAGATACTTGTGCTACCTTTCATGGGCTACGGCTTTCTATATTCATGTTTTGTGATGCTGATGGTCACAATTCCACCCCCCAATCACAGCCCGGAATAAATTATTGCAAACTTTAATTTGTGAATTATCAGATATGGACTAGCATATACTCAGTTGAGGTTAGTGTGTGTGCCTGTGGACAGCCCTTCCCAGCTACTTCTAGAGTAGCGTTACGTGTCACATGGTTAATCCATACCCCTCATCAATGTTTTAATCAGGTTTTGACGGCCTGTGTGAGATTAATTTGAAGGTGGCTCTCTTTTGTTTTATATGTTTTTTGAAAACAGAAGATCTCGCATTACAGGTCATGGATGACATTATGCATATAGCAATTGTTTTATTTTTTTGCCAGAGGGGTCAATTAGCACATGTATATATTGTCAGAGTTTCAAAGTAAAGTAGGAATAATTTTATTTCAATTAATCAACACAGACAGATACATAGGCCCGAAACCGCCGAGTGAAAACTAACTACGTGTGGCAAGATAAAAAAACTCGAATGATCATGGATAGAAAATAATGGATGGAATAATGATAATGAATAGAATAACACTAACAGATGTACCATTCGTCATATAAAAAAGAAATAAAAAGAGATAGAACAAAAAGAGTATAGAGAAAAACACAAACAAGATGGCCATGGGGATGATGATCATGATGAAACTGGTATGGATAATGAGTATGCAAAAAAAAAAACAACCAACCAACCAACCAACCAACTGCACTCAACAGAAATAAAGAATAAAATGGGGGGAAGAGTAAAAAAAAAAAAACCAAAGGCACTCATACAAAGAAACCCCCCCAAGCACGAATTATCGTACCATTACCAATCGTCATCGCCATCCTTCTTTCCTCCTCCCTCAGAAAGAAAAAGTTGAAATCAACACAAAAAGGAAAAGGCAAGCAAGGCGAATCAATGCATATCCTCATCACTATCAATTCCTCCCCCACTCTTCACAACCTTGCCCTTCGTGCTCTTCGAAGCCACAGCAAGTTTCCCCCCAGCAACAGCAAGCGGCTTATCGTACCCCCAGACACCCTTCGCCAGCCTCAACCTCGTCAACTCGCTCGCCCCGACCCCATCGGTATCTTCGTCGTCATCACTCGACTCCTCGCCAAGATCGTACTCCTCCTCGCCGGGGGCATATCTCTGTCTTCCACCACCGCCACCACCACTGGCGCCTGTCATCTTGTGGCTGTTACCGCCATAGATGTTTTCATACGAGTCACTTCCATCGTCGCCGTCATCATCGTCGGCATCGCTATCGTCTTCCCCGTTGCCTTCATCATCGTCATCCTCCTCCTCAAAGCCAAGGTCCCGGAGGTAACTAGCTGCAACGTTATCCGGGTTTTGTGGAGCGGCGGCTTTAGATTTCAGCTTTCGTTTTTGGTTGTAGTCGGCGTCGTAGTCGGCTTCTTCGTCGTCGTCGGCGAAGAGGTAGCCCTCGGGTGTTTCGGTATAGAATTCTTCATCGACCTCCTCTTCGTCAGGGTAATCATTTGTGTGATAATCCTCCGCTAGATGGTACATTAGTATACTTGGTCACAAGGGGAGTAATATCAAAAGAACTTACCATTACTATCTTCATCGTCACTCAAAACACCATTGCCATCAGAATCCTCGTCATCCCATGCACCCCGGTAAAACCATTCTTCATCATCAGGATCAGAGATACTAGATGGAATAAATGGTCAGTGATATCCATAAAAACAAGGGTAAAATGGAAAACATACACCAAGACACCATATTCTCCAGGTTTAACTCCAGGCATATCTGCCGCAGCTGTTGTAGATGTAGTTCCATCTTCTGCCACCTCGCCCTCGACCGGTACACCCTTCTTGATCTCTGGTATCTTTTCACGAACATAGACATCATAAACCCATCCTCCATCCTCCTCATCGTCCTCCTCTTCAGTCTCCTCTTCAGTGGCCGTAGCGCCCTCATCCTCAGACTTATCCTTCTTATCAATCTTCTCCCAAGTCCCTCCACCAACGCCTCCGCCAATCTTATCGGCACTTGAAGGGGTACGTGAGGGACGCTTCCGAACACTTTGTGGTTCAGTGGGTAGATTGACGACACCGTCCTGGACGCTAAGGTAATCCAGCACCATCTGCTGCAACTGTCTCGACAATTCATCGTCGTCATTGTCGACATTGTCCCTGGCCGGAGTACCCGCAGTAGACGCATCCGAGAGATCAGGATGTTTGTGAGCATTCTTTCCTCTCGCCGAAGCCGCCAACGGTTGAGTCTGTGGGGACTTTGATGGATCATTTACAACTACGACTTTATCCCCCTCATCCTTCTTATCCTCCGTCTCCAAAGCCCTCCTCCTCCTCGCCTCCAGCTCCATCTTCTCACGAGGATGGACCTTTGGCCTCTTTCTCGTGCTAGCACTAGCCGCAGTTGTAGCAGAGGATGTCGACGCATTTGCAGAGGCGGCGGCAGCAGTCATTGCCAACCCCCTCAAACTCTCCTTACTCAACTTCGTCTTGACCTCATCCTTCCTCTTCCTCCTCCTCTTCTTCTCCCGAGTCGTAATCCCCCCTCCAACAGAACCCCCCACCGGCTTCAGCGGCAACCCACCATCCCCCTCCATGAAAATCGCACTCTTCTTTGGACTCGCAACCCCCCCACCTGACGCAGGCGTAAGTCCAACTTTCCGAGTCGATTTGTTGTACCCCATCCGATGCGCAAGATGAAACTTCCTTGGCTGCGGCACCTGAAGCGCCAAAGCATTCTCCTTCCCACCAGGAGGATGGCTATGAGTATGTGCAGTACCTCCCACCGCCGCCGTTGTACCAGCCGATACGACCCCACCACCACCCCCACCACTAATACTCCCTCCAGGAGGAAGAGTATCCACCCCAACAACCCCTCCCGCAAGACCCAACGGACTCTCTGGCACCCCCTTCCTCTTGATCCCCACCCCAACCCCTCCACTCGCCGACGAAGCTCCAGGCACAGGAACCGCCGCACTCGTAGCCGCCGAAGTACTCGTCGATATCTGCGGCAACGTGCTTCTCACGATTGGTGGGCCTCCGACCACATTCCCACTTGCTGTGCCGCCCGGCCCACCGCCAGCAACCCCTCCAACATCAAGTCCAGCGACGGAAACACCCATCCCAACCCCGCCACTCAATCCCCCGGATTCGGT